CCCAAACTATAGTCGTAAAAATCTGAAATTGCTGGTATTTCGCTGCAGCAACTATGAACCCAGTAAAGTAAAAGTACTATGGATTCACCCAGAAAGATGTTCCAAGTGTTCTATTCTTGTTCGAAGTACAACTCGATGAGCTATTTTGGACTATGTTATCAGAATTTCTATAGATCGAACTATGTCTTTAAAAATTGCGAAATGATAGTAATTTGAGTTCTATTATGTCGCTGTCTGGCGCAGCTGCAGGAGCTTCCTGGACGAATCTCGGCTAGATTTACTATCCATATGGTAAGATTTGCATAGGAAAAATTACTATTTTGAGATTTTTTCACAAATAGTTTAAGCTATGTAAAATCCAAAGTTATCAATCGATAGAGCTCGTCGAGTTCTATTCTGGCGCTGCCCGGCGCAGCTGGAGCAGCTTCCTGGGCGAATATCGGCTGGATTTACTAAAAATATGGTAAGATTTGCATAGGAAAACATTAGTATTTTGGGATTTTTTTACAAATAGTTTGAGAGATGGAAAATCTAAAGTTACCAATCCATAAAGCTCGTCGAGTTCCATTCTGGCGGGTGTGGGGTGTGGGTGTTTGATTGTGAATATAGATTTCGTGATGACTACTACTCACACCCACACCGACATCCATACCCACACACCCACTCACACCCACACCCACTCACACCCACACCTACACCCACACCCACACCCACACCCACACCCACACCCACACCCCTCATTTGGTTCATCTTAAAACTATTGTACTACGCCATTTCAATTTAGACATTTATACTGAATATGAATATCTATCGACCACCTACCCACAGCTAACCTTATTAACAATGCAACAACTTTTCTTCTCAATGGATAAAATCGAATCCTTGCTTTATCTTACACCTTCACTTGTTCACCTAAGACTTGAAGGTTGTGCAGATGATGCTATATTCAATGGTTCTAGATGGGAAACATTGATTCGAACAAAATTATTGTCACTGAATCAATTCGAATTTAGTTTTCGTTCACAAAACTATCGTGTTGTTAAAATGAATGCAACTCAGTTTCGAACATCATTTTGGCTCAACGAAAAACATTGGCCTGTCTATTGTATCTACGATTATCCGAAAGAAGAAATTCTTCTATGTTCAACACCAGATATTTTAACAGAACTAGAATATAATTTTGTCGGTCCAGTTGTTATTTCTAAGACAATTCAAAATGTTTCTGTAAGTACGAACGTTGTTAGAAAACTATAAGAAAGAGTTATGGCATGTGTAATAAAACAAGCTAAACATGTTTTTTTGTTTTCAGGATAAAGAATCTAATCAATTCTTTTTTCGTCGAATAGCCGAACTCGAACTATCTGAATATGCATTGGATTCCTTCAATTATTTGTCGAAATTGGTCGATCTTTCTAAAGTCATAAAACTTCGAATTGAACTTTCGGATCGTGAAGAATACTTTTCAAAAACAAAAGAAAAGTTAATCAATCTATTCAAAGAAACAAATCATATTCGTTCACTTGAAATATTTTGTGAGCCTCCATTTACTACCGATTTTTTATTACTGGAGAACCTTTGTTCATTGATACCGCATCATGTCAAACATTTGGATATCGAAGCAGAAACGTCAACCGATGTATATTTGATACTTGAACGATTGCAACACTTGTCGAGTGTCACATTTCGAAGACTAAATTTGTCATTGGATTCACTAGCTGAATGGTGCACACTGCTGCGACGAGATGTAACATATCAATATCATCAAGGTTCTTTACATATGTGGCTTAATAAAAGACTTATCAAACGAAACTGAGATTATAATTTCAATTAGTTGAAGAAATAAAATCTGTCTGAAAATCTACATTATACGTAGTCATGTTTATTCTACACCGAAAACACTCTGTAATAATCAATGTTGAGAGAGAAATAATACACAATAGTAAAACAATTATCGATATTGACTAAAAGAAATAATTCATTTTCATTCAATCTTATTTACAACAATGAGTTACTCAATGAATATGTTTTCATATTTTGTAATATTAAAATCATTTTCTATTGTTATATCTGACTTAACATGATTTGATTTTTAAAAACAAAATATCAAAAAAAAACTAATGAATGTCAAAGCACAAATGCATTAAAAACAAAGCCTCTTAGCAAAAAAGTCTCTTTCGAGCTGCAACGTAAAATTCATAGAATTTTGTTCAGTTCAGTAAATTAATAGAAAATGCGTACATGCGGTAAAAACTTCCGATTCATTTAAATTGAAGACAAAGTCAATTTAATCTATATTCGACATTCTCTTTGAAACACACGACCTCCAATGCTGATGTACAAACTACTCAAACAAAATGAAAAACTTTATGATATTAATTCTTAGAAGTAAATGACAATGAAAAAAACAATGTAAATATTTGTCGTATCACACTAATTTATTCGTTTATTTTTCACGTCTTATTTACCAATGTTTGTTCTACGAGAACTAATTTCAACTAATTCTATTAGCGAAATCGTAGTTTAGTGAATTTATTTGTCGCAAGATTATTTTTTATATCTTTCACTTTGTTCTTTTCTTTTTATCTTTTTATTGCTCGAAAAATATCTCTTACTAGCCAAATGTACATCTCCTAACTTGTTTTTCTAACAAAGTCAAAAAGACCTTTCTTAAGAACAAAATGGCTACGATGTTGAAAGTTCTTGACAAGAAATGCATGTCAAAATCATATTAAAGATACGGTTAATGTTGCAAAATATCTCAATGGTACTAAGAATTTTGAGTTTTGTATTTTCTACGAAATGAAGCAACACATAAGTAAACACTTAACATGAAGATTTTACAGTTCTTCATGAACTTTCAGGATATTAACTAGAATTTTCTTTTCAATCGCCATAACAATATCAAATGAAAATTCAAAAAAGCATCGTCGTTATGTATGTTCGTTAATTTTTTAATGTTTAATATGAATAGTTTTGGGCTAGAAAAATGTCAACCCTAGTATTGCCAAGGTCACTCTTTTTCTAACTCAAATTGACTGCTATCGTGTTTTATAATTCTTTTGTAATGAATCGATCACACAGAAATAAATTTTTGAACAATACCTAAAGCATCTTATCTTTAATTATTTTTGGTACAAAATACATGTTTTTCATCAACTATTACTAAGCAGTTTACGAAAAATTACTACTCAAATTCAATAACATAATCAAGAATTCTTAGAAAGTAAACTACATTTTTGACGTTTCGAGCTTATTTAAGCGAAATACTACCATTATCTATTCTTTTTTCTGTTTATAATTCTTCAACATGGCAGTTAATTAGTCGGAATAATGAGAGGACAATATGAAAACATTGAAAAATCTAGCAGAAAATTATCAGCTGCTGTCAGCAATAATGAAACAAAGAACTAGTTACAAAAATAGAAACTACTATCACTGAAAGCTCTCTGTATTTTGCTTTGGAACAGTTTAAATGCATGACTATTTGAAACGCGCAGCTAAAATGATATTTTTTCTTTGTGTTTTTCCCATTCTGTTGTATTTTTTCTTCTCGTCGAGAAAATGCGTTATTTAGACAACGCGACATCTTATGATTTTATTTTTTTCTCTGCTTGTCGATAGTGTTATACGAAAACAAGAAAACCCCATAGTCTTCTGTGTCTGCATCACCATCGAATATCAGATGAAGACTAAGCTCCTCATGATTTTTTTATGAGTAACGTTCTTCTACTTTGTAGTCGATAGAAAAATCGCAAGTATTCTCTTTCTCTTCTTATCGCATGAAGAAAACTGAGACGAAGACAATGCAATATTTTTCTTTCTTCATCATTCCCGTCATTTCCAATGAAAAAGAACACTTTAGATACTTTTCTTTTTCTAGTAACAGTAGTGCACGCGCATTCTCATTTCTTGTTCACTAGTTACTGACAAATTTGTTCTATTCTGTGTGTGTGTTTATATAATGTAAGTAAAATATTGATGGTGAAAACAGCTTTTTTTAATTTATTTTAATTTATTTTGCTTTTAAATGAAACTCTCGGGAGTGCTTACATGATAATATAAGGAAAATTAATGTATTTAAGCACTAAGCAACAACATAAGCGTAGCGAGTTTTACCGCTGTCACCATTATCTTTATATCCAGTGTTAACTCAGCTGGTATGGGGTTTAAGAGAGTAAATAAAGAAACAGAAAAAGGAAGGAAGAGAAAAAAAAGAAAAGAATGAAGTAAAAGGGAAGAGTTAAAAAGGAAAAAGAGCCGATAAAAAGGAGTGAAGCAAGAGAGGAGGAGGAGAGAGGAGAAACGAAAGCAAAGGAGTGTATACGCTTGCATTTCAAGGCCAAAAAAAGAAAGTATGTCCTATTCTGGTATACTATTAGTTCATTTCAATAAATGATATCCATTTTAAGAGAAGTGACTCATGCTTTTCTATCAATCGCTTTACACGATTCGTACGGAAGAATTGGCCAAGATGATCCTTCTTTCTTTTATGAAATTCATCCCAATTAAAAATATCACTATAAAAGAGTGAACGACCAAGATCCGTTGTGCCAATACTTTTTAGTCTTCTTTGAATATAGTGTTTAACGTATAGCTCTAATGAAACTTCATTAGTCCTAGTCTATAGATTATGAGCTGAGACAAAGGGACATCGATGCACCAGTCTAAGAGAAACACGGAATCTCTGCTGTAATAATTGTTGATGTGATTCGGGAAGCAAGGGAAAAAATGGAAATATCCATGCAAAATAAGCAAATTTATATGCGAAAAAACGTTGCCTAAGGGCCTTAGTAGACAAAAAACGCTTTGCTCTCAACCATTTTAGCTTTCCCAATGATTTCTGAATGTTTACGATACATCTATCAACTGTTGGTTTCAAGGATAGTTTGCTTGTCCAAGTGAATCCTAGATATTTAAATTCGTAAACTGATTTGATTTTCTGTCCATTCATTTCTATGTTTACTCTTGGCTTTTTAATTTGTGTATAAAATAACTGCGCCACTGTTTTAGACACGTTCATGGGTTGCTTCCATTTTTTTTTGAGTATGCAAATATTCGTTCACACCCTCGAGTACCTTCGTATTCTAGATAATTGATCATAGACTCTAGTTTTATGCAGATAGGAGGTTTTATAATAACACAAAGATCATCCGCAAAAGGATGACCTGAATGTGCTCCTAGGCATTGAACCAAATCAGAATGAAACACAATAAATAGGTATGGATTCAGACTACTACCTTGAGGCAGACCACTGTTTATATCAAAGATGTCTGATGACTTCTCTCCAAATACCACGGATGCTCTCCTTTCTTTTAACCAAGATATTATCATTTTCAACATGCTAAGCGGTAGACCTAATTTCCATAGTTTAGTCAAAAAAGCTGCGTGTCATACACGGTCATAGGCCTTCTGACAATCCACATAGATAGCTAAAGTCGTTATGCTCCCTGCCATACAGTTCTTTACTTCTTGATATGACAAAACTCTTGCGAGTAGTAAACATCGTGGGAGAAATCCTGATTGTTCTACTGGCACTATATGATTTGTCTCTGCCCAGTATCTAACTCTATTAAGTATTAGTTTTTCGAAAAGTTTCGAATGTGTTGGTAGTAAGGAAATTGGTCGGGTTTCATCGCATTTTGGAACCCCTGCTTTTAATTTATTTAGAGTTACTATTTTTGCTAATTTCCATTCGTCTGGATATTTGCATTCGTTTAGCCACTAGTTAAAACAGTTAACAAGGCATTCGATATAGCTGGGAGGAAGTCTCTTGATCATGTAATTCGAAACCTGATCAAACCCTGCTGATTTTTTTGGTTCAAGAGAGCGAATCAATCGTATAATCTCTTCAATGCTTGTTTTCTCCATTTTTCGCTAGAATTTGATAGTATTCTTGATATTTCATTGCATTCATTGTCAATTTTCACGTTATTTGCATCTGAATAGTCGATCAAGGGTGTCTTGAACTGTTCGCTATAATGCTTATGTAACTCTTTCGTAATTTCGTCGTGATAAGATAGTACTTTCTTGCCACTCAATCATCTATAAAATGGTGGTGCACATTCTTTATAAATACGAGACAAATAAGTTCAAAAACTTTTAGCCTTCTTATCGTGTGTCTGTTGCATTGTAAAAAAAATCTTACCATTTAGTCGCTTTATATTTTCCTATCTCATTTTTTATTTCACTTGACATGACCCGTAGAAGTACTATTGTTTCTTCACATAAAATGCCTCTTTGACGTAAATGATAAT